CTGTACTTTAGAAGTGTTTGGGTGACATTGTTATTATTTTCCCCTTAACTATCTGATATAATTCACCGGTGAAGCCATCTGGATCTCTGAGGGATTTTTTCTTCTTTCTTTAATTTAAAAGCATTTATAGTCCAGAGATCTTTTTCTTCTCACCCATCATGCCACGAATTCGTAGGGAACGGGTTCCAGCAGCTCAGGCTCCTCTCCACAGGTTCTCAGGAAGTTCAGTCCTCTGGGTGTAACAGGCTGGCATTTCAGTTGAACCCAAACACCTTGCTCATTGGCTTTTTTTTTTTTTTAAAGATTTATTTATTTATTTATACAAGCACTGGGTACAGTCAGAAGCACGGGAGGGTGAGAGAATTCACCAGAGACAGAGCGGGGAGCAGAACAGGTAGACTGACGAAGCACACTGCTGAGGGGAGCAGCGGGCGGCAGGAGAGGTCTGTGCGCCATATGGGACCCTCCTCCGGTGGCGGGGAGCAGCCGGGAATCGAACCAGTGCTGCAGAGGCTGCAGACAGCTCAACCGCTGCGCCACCAGGGAGGCCCCTCATTGGCTTCTTTTTTATGATAATTTTCTTTCACACATTTCAGGAAGCCATCTCTGCCCTCAGAGTGCCTAATGTGCTCAATACAAACATTTGGCAAGAATCTTGCTCTTGTTTGTTTACAACAATGCCAACTGCATGCTGGGTAACATTATAGACTCTTCCAGTGTTGCCATGGTAACATATTTGGGGCATTCCTGTTTGAATAGTGCCCATCCCCTTGATGTCTACCTTTCTTGTAGATTCCCATGTATGTGGCCAGAGGAGCAGCTCCATGTTGTCTAAAAGGCCTAGAGAACATATAGAGGTTGTCTCTCCTCTTTCCCTTTGTGTTGATCATTTTGGCAACTTACTGGAAGATGGCAGTTCCAGCCAAAATGCTAATTTTAAAACTTTTTATTTTTGAATAATTTGTATTTACAGAAAAGTTGCAAAGTTGATGCAGGGAATTTTTGTATACTCTTCATCCAGCTTCTCCTAGTGTTAACATCTTACATGGCTATAGTATATCTGTCAAAACTAAGAAATTAACATTGGTACAATACTATTAACTCAACTTTACATTGATTTCACCATTCCCTTCCTTCTTCCCCCACCCCCAATATTCTTTTTCTGTCCCAGAATCCAATCCAGGCTACCACATGACATTTCATTGTGATGTTTCTATTACCAGAATCCAGCCACCTCAGCAACAGGAGCCACTCAGCGGTGGGAGCCGGCAGCAGCAGTGGTGTTCTCTCACCCTGCTGCTCCACCACAAGTCAGTTGGGGCAGTTGCTCCTCAGAGCATAGCAATGGCCCTTTTATTCCTGGATTGTGGAGTAGACCAATCAGGTGTGAGCTATAAGCCGATTGGTGTTAAATGGTCCAATCAGCCACAGGATTAAAAAATGTTCCAATCAGACCTATGGGTGTGGCACCTTGAAAGAGAATATAGCCCAGGGTCAGAGGAACTGAAAAAGAACAGACTGTTCCAGCCTCTGAAGAAAGAAGGGGAAAACTCCATTCGGGCCTCAGAAAAAGAAGAAGGACCAGAAACTGAAAGAAGGGGGAAAAATGAAGCATCCAACAGCTCACCTCTGAGAAAGAAAAGCCAAAGAGTTTTGTCAGAGATTGGGCCTCCAGTCCTGGCTCTGACATCACCTGAAATGAACACCAAAGGCCCCGTGCCTTGTGTCACAAAAGCTGTTAACGCTTGGTGTCTCTGATGCCACCTCAGCGGGACCAGTAGTGACGATCGCTACTGGCCAGTGCTGTCCAGCACTCCTGGTGACTGGTACTCTGCTTGCACTTGTGGACCCTATCTGGGTGAGACAGCTGGCCACCAGTGGCTACAGTAAGCACTTTATCCCGTTTGTAAAATAAATTCCATAGCTGTTCACAGAGCCTGAGGTCTCATGAAATTGTGCATGTGGGTGAGAACGCACAAACAGTGATCTGCCCTCTTAGCGGGCACTGTCCCCTTTGTTCAGCTATAGCCCATAGGCCCGTACTGTGTGGGTGTTTATTACTACAGCCCTTGTTTTATTTTTTGGCCTTTTGGCCTTTTGGGGCTTTTTAATGGCTCTCTTGTCTTAGAGCCCGGGAGGTGGGTGGCCATTCCAACCTACCCTGGCACCCCATCCTCCTGCCCCAACCACCCCTGCATTAGTGTTAACGTCTTACAGGGCCATAGTGTATTTGTCAAAACTAAGAAATTTGCATTGGTACAATACTATTAACAGGAGACCTTATCAGTCTAGAAGGACTAAGATGTTGTTAGTAGTGACTCTGGCATGTGGGGATGGGCAGAGCACAGGAAGGTGGGAAGGTTATGCATGCGCATGGAAGGAGCTATGTGGACACTTTCCGATTTTAGTTCATTTATTATTTTTTAAAATTTTTCAATAAGCATTTTTTAACAACATCAGCCAAAGTCACATTATCAGAAGAAGAAAGGCTGGAGGCCCTGCTTTAGGGCACAGCAGGCTCCCTCCCAGGTTTCTTCTTCTGTACCTGGTGGCCACCATTATCCTCCAGAGCAAAGCAAGGCCAACCCAAGACAGTCCAAGTTCTCTCTTCTGTTTCAGACACTTTAACGGGGAGTTTGCAGACCAGGGAAACGTGACTTTGAAAGGCAGTCTCCAAATGAAAGACTACACATCAACTGCAAGCAATTTTAAGAGTCAGGCTGATGACCCCTTAAGACTGTGTGGGGCACAGTGGAACCAAAAGGAAAAGGCAACTTCAATCCCCTGTACCCTGGGATTCCTGACCTTCTCGTCACCCCTGGAGAGGGAGGCAAGGAGGAGACAGAGAGGGCATGGGGGACGAGGGTGACTCATGGCTGAAAGGAACCCTACAGAGACCAAGGACTTTCCTTAAGACTTCTCTTTCACTATTCCAGTGACATCCGACAGTTTGCTTATCAAGCCACATCCACTGGGAAATCTTTTCCAGTCAAGGGCAGTTGTTGCGTTTAATCATGATCGAGCACTTACTATGTATGAGTCATCACTGTGCTCACAACCCTACTGAGGGACATTTGTTTGTCTTCATCTTTTTTTTTTTTTAAGATTTATTTATTTATGCATATAAGAGCCGGGGTACAGGCCAGAGGTGCGGGGGGTGAGAGGATTCACCAGAGACAGAGTGGGGAACAGGACAGGCAGATCCACTGAAGTACACTGCTGAGGGGAGCAGCGGGCAAGACAGGAGAGGTCTGCTGTGCCATGTGGGTTTCTCCCTGGCTGGCCGGGGATTGAACTCATGCTGCAGAGGCTGCGAACAGCTTCATACTTTGCATCTTAACCTCTTGCACCACCAGGGAGGCCCTTCTTTGTCTTCATCTTACAGGTGGGGAAACAGAGGCCCACAGGTGAGAAGTGACTTGCTCAGCTTCCATGGTTAGCAGTGGCAGTTAGAAATCATCCATCCAGCTTGATCCCCTGCCTGATTTCTTAACAGCTAAACTCTAAGCAGGATACTAAAACTCGGTGATTCTGTAGTGTATGGGATCTGGCTTGGCCACCAGCACAGTGAAAAAAGATGCCCACTGGAAGTAGACAGATTCCCATTTTGGTTCTGTTCTGGACAAGTCATATCCCTTTCTGAGCCTGTGTATCCAGTGCTTATGGAAATCCACCTTTCTCTAGGTGTTGTACTGGAAATTAGAACTAGGATATGTAGAAGAACTATGACCAGCCCAAGCACTGAGGCTCCTAATAAAAAGCAGCCATCACCATTGTCATCACCATCATCATCACCATCATCACTACCATCATCATCAACATCATCACCACTTGAACTAAGGGGCATTCTTATTTCTCCTTTACCTAATGAACCAGAGTACAGCCTCAAACTACTCTTGGTAGGGACTAGGATGGATCTACCCCAATACCCACATAAGATGGAGAGTAGGGGTAGGAAGAAAGGACTCCTTGTAAGTCCTCCCTTTGCACCTGTCCTGTAAGGTGCTCAAAGAGGTGCCTTTCTTTCCAGCCCCATGGTCACCTCCCTAGTTCAGGACTTATTTGTGTAGGTTTCCTGCCTTCCAGCCTTAATTCTCTCCAATCTGTGCCCCACAAAACAAGCAGAGAGACCAACACTCCCTGGGTTAAACTCACTACCCATTTCCTTAGCAAAGCCCAACCTACTCTAGCCCTCACCAGGTCCTCTAATAAAACCCTCCTTCTCAGAACACCCCACACCTACGACAACTCTGTGCCTTGGCACATGCTGGCCCACCCTCTTCATCACCCCCTCTTCCTGCTCAAATCCTCTGTGAGGCTTCCAATAACTCCACCCCATGCCCTGGGCTAGCCCACTGCCTCCTGGTGCTTTGTTCCTCAGTTGTCAGTTAGCATACAGGGAAAATGCGATGATCTACTGCTTTACAAGTCTGTCTTCCCTACTGTCTTCCTCATCCAGATCAGGGCCTGGGCCTACTCACCACACACTCTCTGGGGCTGACACAGCAACTAGTATAAAGTAAGTACAAGTAAATGTTTACAGCAAGAAGAGACAAGGTCTGACTTCATCTCAGTAAAAGGAAAACCTTTCTAATTATCAGTATTATTCATAGCTAGATGGGCTGCTTGCCATCATCGGGGAGTGTAAGCTGGAGTAGAGGAGCAGGGAGGATGTGGTTTGAATTCCTAAAGATACAAACCAGCGACAAGTTACAATGGGATCACCTGGGCCTATGGACTAGGCATAGAGAGCCCTCAGCCCCAGATATTCTGATGCTACAAGTCGGGGACAAGCTAGAAATCTGTGCTAGGAGCAGTGTCCCAGGTAATTCTGCAGCATACCCACACTTGGGGACTACTGAACATTGTGACCTTTGAGGTCATTTGCAATATGATTTTGTGCCTGAAAGCCCTTCATAAACTGTGAAGTGATATCCACAAGTTTTGGTTTCTGGTGTTACCCAGACTCCAGGTCAGGGAATCAAAGATTCAGGCAGGAGCTACAGCTCCTCAGACTCTGGAAGGTTGCGGACCCAACCCTGGGCCACTCTGTTGAAGTTGGGTCTGAGGCGGAGGAGTTCCAAGCCACTGGTGAACTCCGGCAAGAAGAGGGTCCCTGTCCTGGGGATGGTCTCTCCCACCAGAGATCCTCCAAAGGGCACTGGTGTCCTAGGGAGAGAAGGGCAGTGGAGAGGTGGGCTATGGGAAAGGGATGCCCAACACTGGCATGCAGGTCACCATGTGGAGTGCCTCTCTTTGGGCCTCCGTTTCCCCCTTTACACAATAAGATTCTGTACTATCTTGAAGGTTTCTCCCAGCCTGCCTCCAGTCCAGATAACATGTTGCTTAGGAACAGGAGTGATGTTTCCCAAGTTAGAACTGGCTGTCCTAGGCAAAACTCGAGCTTCCTCTTAACTCAGCTCCAGAAAAGAGTAGAGTTGGAAAATGGTTTTTCCTTCCTTTTGTCATCAAGAGGACAGTATACCCACAAACTTGAGACAGAAGGGAAGATTAGAAAGAACACTGAGAATCAGGAAAATGCAGATTACAACAGAGACATGCAATTTCTTACCCATAGGACTGGCAAGAAGAAATAACCTGAAAATGGGGAAGACTCGGTGAGGTGGTTAGGGCAAAATTTCACTCATATTGGAGGGTAATTGGTGCTGCTACTTGCAGGACAATTTGGCAGGATCTTTTAACCTGAAAATGTGTAAACTGTCAACCAGCAACCCTACCTGTAAGTACTCGGTCTAGGGAAGCACAAACATTTGTGTACGAGGAAGCAGACATGAGCAGTGCATTAGTGTTAAACTAGAGACAATCAATGGCCATCGACAGAGGAATAGAGCAGATAGATGTATAGTCATATGGTGGAATATTATACAGGAACAAAAAAGGGATAAAATCTCTGCATGTATTAAGTAGGGTAGATTTCAAATGCATAATATTGAGTGAATGAAGCAAGCAAAGTATTGAAAGTGATGCAAAGTATTAAAATATACACACAAATAATGCCCTGCCCTTAGAGGTATGTAACCACCCACAGAAATTGTTCTGAAAATGTACACACACCTGAGAACAGTGATGGCTTTGGGTATGGAACTGGGACTGGAGGATGGTAAGCAAAGCGTCCCTACCTTTATCTGTAGTTATCTCGTTGTTTGATTTTTCAAAATATAAACCTTAAAACTATTTTTTAATTTAAAGAAGAATAGTAAGCATTGTTCATACACTTTCTTCTCCACAGTCAATGACCAGTGGGAAGAGGGGAGTGCCTGCTCCAGGGGTGGGAAGGCGAACGTCGGGCCAGGGCCTGCATCCCAGACCGGAAAACATTTCTGCCTGGACCACCCCAGAGGTGGCAGCCACAGCCAGGCCCCATGAGAACCTGCTGGGCAGTTTCCAAGCCAAGTCGGCCTCACAGTTGGGCCCTTGACAAGGAGCCCAGAGTCCTGGATTCTCAGCGCAACTTGGCCACCAACACTGTTGCTCCTCCTCTCTATGCCTCAGTTGCCCCTCCTGTCCCGGAAGGGATCTGGGTTCAGAGTCCCTAATTCTCTCCTCTTGGAGGGATGGCCCTTAACCTGTGATACCTGAGGGAGGAGATGGGTGGCGGCTGAGACCTGAGCTGGTCAGCCTGGAAGCTGGCTGTCATGACTGAATGTCTGCTGAGAGTTTAATAGCTCGCAGGCAGGGTCTAAGGGTCTCAGGAGGAGAGAGAACTTGCCTAGTGAGAACCCCAGATGCCTGCCAATGGCTCGTGGCTCACATGGGGCCTGTTAGGCCCAGTTCCTCTCACCAAGGCCTTCCTCAGAAAATCACAACTCTCCATCCCTTCTGAGAGTCTCTTGTCAAGGCCAATCATCTTCAATTCCCTCAGCCCTCCCTCAGAGGGTCTGGTCTCCAGACACAGCCAGGCCTTGGCACCCATCTGTCTCTCTGTCAGACACCAGCATCTCGTGTGGTCTGAGCAGATGCCAAAAGAGCTGGACTGCGGCCTCCTTTCTGTGGACCCTCCGCTTTCTCACTGACTGCAGCCCAAGCCAGAGGAGCATTTTTCAGAAATAGCATCAGACAAGGAAGCCAATTGCAGTTGAAATGTCTCCCTAGTCTGGGGCCTTCCTCTCATGCCAAACTCCTGTCTTGACTTCTATGATTTGTTTCAAGTCCATGGGGGACAGTGTTAAATTTATCCCTCTCAAGTTCTCTCCTGTTAGCTTTTCTAATCATCATCTCGGCCTGTAAATAATCACAATAACACTCAGTCATTTTTATTGGGAGCTTATTCCTTGCTAGAAACTTTGCCAATGGCTTCTCATGCCATTCTCATAGTCATCTGAGGAAGTAGGCACTATAATAGACTCATTTTACAGATGGGGAAATAGAGGTTCAGAAAGGTTAAGTAACTTGCCAAGGTCACACAGCCAGGCGTGAAGTCTGCATCTCAGCCCACATTGAGACCTCATGCTCTGAACAGTGTAAGTTACTCCTCTGTGGCTCTCGCTCCTGGTGTCCACCATTTCTCACTCACACCCCACTTTGGTAGAACCTCAAAGCCAGTTCAGAGGCTCCTTCCATTGTTGAAAATAATGAGAAGACCCAGCTGTCCTAGGGCTGGTGAGAGGTGGGGGTAGGGGGCAAGGAAGGATGTGTACCTTTCCATCCATGAAAGAGGCACACAGCAGTGATGGAGAATAAGGAACTGGGTCTTGGTCAGACAAGCAAGGACTTGTGCTGTGGTGCGTTTGCTTTGTGACTCTGGGCAGGTGTTGGTATGCATGAACTTTGCTCTTCAGCTGCAGAAAGGGAAAAATTGTAGCGCCTGCCCCACCTTATTGTGGGGAAGATGCAGCAAGATGTGCAGTACTTCCCAACACTTCTTCCCTGTGCATTTACTGAGTGCTTACTATGCAGAGTCCATTTCAAGCAGTTGGGCCCTTGACAAGGAGCCCAGAGTCCTGGGCTCCTTACATGCCCTGGGCACAGCTCAAGGAACCCAGGTACTGACCTGCAAGCCTGGCTCCCTGGCCCTTCCCATCTCTCCCAAGCCTGTCACCTTACTTGTTGAAATTTCGATACTCCACCAGGCGGGGTGTGTGACTTCGGCCAAGGCTCTGGTGGACCCAGGTGCTGCCAGATTCCTGCCACGGGCAGCGGTAGCCCTTGGGGATGGCCGTGTGGTTGAACTTCTCCGGCGGAACACTCTTCAGGGGTTCTGCATAGCCTAAGCACAGAGCGGGGTGCATGGAAGTGGTCGAGGTGCTCTTGGGGCCCAGCTGGCAGATGTCCTTGGGTAGCCAAGACCCAAGCTGGGAAAGGGGAGTGTGGGGGTGGGGTAGAGGATGCCAAAGTTGCTCCAGCAAAGAGGACTATGCTCATCCCAAGAAACAAGGAGGATGGGTTTAGGGACTTGCTGTTTAGGGCACAGATTCGAGTTGTCTTTGTTGGTTTCTGGCCACTTGTGAGATGATGGGTTCCTAGGGGCACCGCCCTGCGCCTGTGTTTGTGTGTATGTGTATGTGTGTGTAAGAAAGCGAAAGAGAGAGAGAGACTGTTGCTAGAACTGAGCCCACCCTCCAGTCTCCTAGGCCTGGTCCCGAGTCCAGGGGATCCCGCTTACCTGGCGCCAGAGCGCTGGCACTGGGGCCACTCTCCACATGCCCTGCTGCAGACGGGTCAAGCTCAGGGCCTCCAGGGGAGGCCGGGTGGACTTGGAGCTCTGAGCTGCAGTTCAGCCCCTCAGGTCCATTTGCAGCCTGGGTAGAGGGGGCACGCTCAGAAACCGTGTCCTAGTTGCCCAGCTCCACCCCAAGAGCTTCCCAGGTCGGGGCTACCTCCACACTCACCGTCCCCACCTGCTCGCTGCCGGTCACCACCATCCCCAGGGCGCTCCCGTTACCACTCCCGGACACGATCTGGTGGGGAGGAGGAGGCAAATCAATAGCTGAGGCTCAGTGGGGCTTGGGACCTGGGATCTCCAACCACCAAAAAAAAAGGGTGGAAGACAAAATTCTATATGTGTGATGTTGGGGGAAAGGCAGGAATGAGTTAATAGTGTAGAGCACTAAACCTGGTGACCTGGACAGAGAAATTCTCTGAACATTAGTTGCTATTGTGATATTGACCCAGGGCAGATACTTACCCTCCCTGAGCCTCAGTTTCCTCTCTATAAAATCAGAATGATAATGATGATCAAACTCACAGGACTCTATGATACTAAATGACATACACAAAAAGGGCTTGGCTAACATTGTCTTAGATACATAGCAAAGGTTGGTGCTCTGTCATTTTTATTATTTTGCTACAGGGCTCCCTTTCAATTGCTTCTGTCTAGCCCAGAAATTGAGTGAAGTATGGAAGAAAATGCCTCTGAGTTCATTTAGAAGAACCTGAAACTGCCTGCTGCCCTTTTGAAGCCCCAGGATAAACACTTCTTGCCTTCTTTCTCTGCCAGCCTGCTGTTCCATGCCCTTGACTTCTTCCAGTGGGAAGAAGAGAAAAAAGCATTCTTCGTTTTCTCCTTTAGCTCCATCAAGCTCAAGTCTAATCTAAATCCTGCTTGCTGCAAAGTCAGCCCAGAGCAAGTGACAACCCTCCAGCACTTTCTCGAGGAGGCCCTTCAGTCTACAGCTCATCCTATCCTCTTAGCTTTTGTGCCTGGAGAGAGAAGTTGAAAGAGCAAACAACTTTCTAGGATCACACAGTAAGGCAGGGGCTCAACCTCATGAAGTGTCACAGACTTTCCCAGCTTCAGTTTGAGGGATGCCCCAGGGGCCAGAGGGCCTCACCTGGATCACTTTTTGTCTTTCATCTCAACACTGGCCCTCTTGCCCTCAGTTTCCCCCCTGAGCACAACAAAGGGCTTACCGCCTGTTGGCTGGATGCAAACTCAAAGGTGAATTTCTGCACACGCCGCTGCCTCTTCTGGAAGAGGAGGGATCCAGGGTTGTTGCTGTTGCGCAGAGAGAGCTCTTCCAACATCAAGTCCTGCGGCACACTCAGCTTCTTGCCCAGGTTCAACAGGGGGACTGGCGTGGAGGGGCCAGAGCAGGCGGTTACTGCCAAGCCCTCAGGGCCCTTGGGCCATTGTGAGGACACACCCCCAGCTAGGACCAGCGTGTATGAAAATGCTGGGATCTCCCCGTTTGCTGACGTGCGGTGTCATCATTTTGTGAAATCTTTGCCCGTCTCATGGGCAGAAGTGATAGCTCCAAGTTTAATTTGCATGCATTTGACAGTGAAACTGAGCACCATTTTAGAGAGTCTTTGGCCATTTGTATTTATTCCATCAATTTCCCCATGTAGCTGTGTGGCTATCGTGGTGGAGATTCTAGATAGTGGATCAAATTCTAGATATCTTTTAAAGGTAAGCATGGGTATGAGATAAGACATAAATAGATGTATCTGTCTGCCTGTCTATCTATCTATCGAGAGAGAGAGAGAGAGAGAGAGAGAGACAGAAGGTGAGCCACTGTCACTGGCAGGACACGGCAGCTGCTCCAAGACATTTCAGAAGGTCTTAGTCCTGAGTTCTTTTGCTTTTTAATTTTCTTTTTACTGTACGGTTCTTTTACTTTTTTTAAGTGACTTTTTATTAGTTATAAAAATAGCATAGGTGGAAAAAGAAAATACAGAGAGCATTAACAAGGAGCATTCAGAAAGGTAGGGGAAAAAAATCTAAAGGGTGTGGTGTCCTGAAACTTGAAAGATGAAGGTGTTTCTGAGAAGATGCCCAGTGCTGCTGATCCATCAAGTCAGATGGGGACTGGAAAGTGCCTTATATTTAGTAACTAGGGGTTTATTGGTAAACCCACAAAGGCAGTTTCTATGGAGCATTTGGGTGTGAAAGCCCTACTGGAAAGGGTTCAAGAGAAAATGGACAGAGGAGCAAGTTTAACCAGACAACAAGGAAGCGATGAACCAAATTTAGGATGTAGGGCAGCCGGCCTGGATTTTCTTTTTTTTTTAATGAGTGAGTGACATGGAAAAAGGAGGAGTGTTTTATACTAAAGGAGATTAAGAAACATAGCCACCAAATAAAAACAATAACTCATATTTGGATTCTCATTAAAACAAACTAGAAAAGGGGCCTCCCTGGTGACGCGGGCAGCTGAGTGCCACACTGTGAAGTTGTCTGCAGCCTCTGCAGCACAGGTTTGATCCCAGCCAGCCGGGGAGAGACCCACATGGTGTGGCAGACCTCTCCTGTCGCACCCGCTGCTCCCCTCAGCAGTGTATTTTAGTCATTCTACCTGTTCTCTTCCCTGCTCTGCCTCTGATGAATCCTCTCACCCTCCCACACATCTGGCCTGTGCCCCGGTTCTGGTATAAATAAATAAATAAATAACCTAGAAAACTGGAGAAAGTTGACCATGGGACTGGATTATTTGATGACTTTGAACCATTATTGCTAATTTTGTCTTTGTGGTATGTGAAGAAATGTTCTTTATATTACTTTTGCTCCCTTGTGAAGTACTTGGGGGGTGAAATGACATGCTCTTTGGAATTACTTTGGACTCCAGGCATAAAAAGGGGGTCTTGGAGACTTGTACTCTTTACTTTCATACGTGTGTGTTTGGAAATTGGCATAATAACATGTCAAAAAGAAAGAAAGAAAAAGAGAGAACCATAACTAGAGGCAGACGTGGGATCAAGAGGGGGTTGTTTGTCTTAATTTCTAAAGAAGGTGAAACAAGAGCTTGTTTTTTAGTGGCTGAGAAAATCTGATAATGCAATAGTGAGAGGGGAGACTTGCTGTAGGAGTGTTCTGAAGCAGGCGCGAGGGGAAGGTATCTGGGTTGGCTCAGACCAGGTACAAGGAGAGCTCATGGACCACATTTGGCAGGAAAACTCAGATTATGGCCACAGATCAAGTGATCGGACAGTGTGGAGGAGGACTTTGCAGCAGTGATCTCTTAGTTACTTCACTTTTCTCGGTGAAATAACAAGCAAGGCCATTAGCTAAGAGTGAAGATGGGGGAGGTTTGCTGGAGGCTGGAGGAGAGTGGAGAGAGGTTGTCAAAGTCTCTAAGAGACTAGAAGGGGCAGTGGGTGGACCAGGAAGGGCCATTCAGCTGCTGCTATTCATTCTATTCAGTGGAGTCCTCAACAGGGATTTTTTAAAAAAGGTTTGGTTTTTATTAGGCTTTCAGAAAATATAGAGAACACCTTCTACATTTTAGGAACAGAAAGAAATCCACTGAAGTTTAAAAGGAGGGTGGAAAGCAAGTTTCAGAAGATTATGTATTCTAACATCCCACTAATATATTTTAAAAATAAGCATATGCTTATCAACTTGGTGGTTGCCAGGGAAGGGAGTCAAAAGGTGCAAACTTTCTGTTATAAAATAAGTAAGTCCTGGGGGTGCAATGCACAACATGGTCCCACAGTTAATAACACTGTCTGTACTGCATATTTGAAAGTGCTAGGAGAGTAGATTTCAAGATTTCTCATCACAGGAAAAAAAATCTTTTTAAGTGGAGATGGATGTCAACTAGACTTACTGGGGTGATAATTTTGCAACATGTACAAATATGGAATCATTATATCATGCATCTGCAACTGATGTTATGCTGTATTTATGCTCTTTAACTTTGGGAATAAGGGAATGAGGGAGTAAGAACAAAGAGGAAAAGAAACATGAGGGCCTGTGGTGGTGGATATGTGTGAAGGGGTGGTGGGTGCATTGTGGTGGTAATACATGAATAGGGGTACCCCAATATTACCTAAGTTAAAAACAAATAAATAAATATGTAAAAAAGAGAGTACATAACTTTGGGAATAATGAGGATTTAAAAAATAACATTAAGATGTATCATGAAAAGATGGGCCTCCTCTGGTGGTGCAGGTGGTTGAGCACCACCACACTGTGAAGCTGTCCGCAGCCTCTGCAGCACAGGTTCCGTCCCGGCTGGCAAGCGAGGGTCCCATGTGGTGCTGCAGACCTCTCCTGTCGCGCCCACTGCTCCCCTCAGCAGTGTGTTTCGTCAGTCTGCCTGTTCTGCTCCCCATTCTGTCTCTGGTGAATCTTCTCACCCTCCTGCATGTCTGGCCTGTACCCTGGTTCTTGTATAAGTAAATAAATAAATCTTAAAAAAAAAATTATCATGAAAAGAACAGTATATATTTATATCTTCATTAAAAAATCTGCAAGGAGATACGGTGGCAAATATTAGCATGGACTACTTATGGAATGGGGAAGGAGGAGACTAGAAATTGCAGGGGTTTTTTTTAATAAGAACTTGTACTGAATACTTAAAAATATCAAAGATTATTTTTACCTAAATATATAATAAAAAGTCCCATGGCATCATATCTTCAAATACTACCCAGATGAGCTATGTTCAATACTGTTTTAAAAAATGTTACAGTTAGGACCTCCCTGGTGGTGCAGGTGGTTGAGCACAGCGCTGTGCAGCTGTCCGCAGCCTCTACAGCTCTGGTTCGATCCCGGCCGGCCTCAGAGCAACCCACATGGCGAGCAGACCTCTCCTGTCTCGCCTGCTTCTCTCCTCAGCAGTGTATTTCAGTAGACCTGCTTGTTCTGCTCCCCACTCTGTCTCTGATGAATCCTCTCACCCTCCCAGGCATCTGGCCTGTACCCCAGCTCTTGTATAAATAAAAAATAAATCTTTTTTAAAAATGTTACAGTTTAAGTCTATTTTACTAAGCTATTCTATTTCTAGACATTCATCTTTGGGGTGGGGGTGGGGGGTTTACATAAATATGCCCAATGGTATATGCAAGATGTTTACTGCAGTGGGATCTCTGTGAAACCCAAGGGGCCAGCCTTGTGGTGGGGCTGCCAAGACACCTCTTGGGGGTTAAGTATTCATCACCACCCCCTTCTGCAGGGAGCAGCCAAAGGAGTAGAAGTGCCTCTTGTCCTGGGAAGGATGAACCCCTTGCAGCTATTCACCAGGCCCTCCCTGCACTCCCCCTCTTGCCCTGTCATGGTGTCAGAGGCAGTCTGGGCTACTGCAGCACCCACAACCTATAAGTCACTTGCTCTACTCCTAAGGATGCCAACGTGACCCAGCCTTCATGACCACCGAGAGGGAGTGCATATAAATAGATATTATATACTTTATGTTGGGGGAGCAAAGGCTGTGAGGAAGGGGAGGAGGTGGGATAAATCATACCAGGATAGAAAGATGTCATGGTGCAGCAGGCCTCTCCTGACTTGCCCGCTTCTCCCCTCAGCAATGTATTTCAGTCAATCTGCCTGTTCTGCTCCCCACTCTGTCTCTGGTGAATCCCCTCACTCCCCCACCCCCACACCTCTGGTCTGTACCCCAGTTGTAGTACGCATGAATAAATAAATTTTAAAAAGATGTCATATATAATACTGCTAAATGAAAAAAACTCTCAGCCAAAGGGCATCTAGCCCACGTGTGTATGTGTTTATATAATTATGTATCACACGAACAGAAGGTTTACACAAATATGTTAACGGTGATTATCTCCAGATGGTTCCATTATAAGGAACTCTCACTTTCAAAGTCACTCATGTCTATCTTGTCTGAATATTTTAGCAAGTGGATATATTATCTGTGGAACTACTATAGCAAAGAAACTGCTCTGGAAACAAAGAGCTCTGGAGTCAAACCACAGTTGCACCACCTGCCAGATGTGTGACCATCTAGCTTCTCTGAGCCTCGGTTTTTTCATCTGCAAAATGAGATAATAACAACTAATTTACAGAGATGTTGTGAGGGTTGTGTAACACGAAGCAGAAAAGTGCTGGCCCAGCATCTGACGCACAGCACACAGTAGCAGCATTTTATTGGGACTTTACAAAGGCTATCTTCCAGTGGGGAGCTTAGTTTTGAAGCGGTTAATCAACATTCTAACAATGACCCACAAGTTCCACATCTCCAGTCTGGGCTAGATGGTGAATGCAATGATTCTTCTAGTTAGAGCATCAATACCTCCCCAAGTTTGTATATCTCAACCCATAAAATCATGGAATAAAACAAAGATGCCTGTCATCGACAGAAGTAGTCAAGAACACACAAAATAGGCTACAGGACAACCCACACACACGGTCACACGGCAGGATTGAACACTTCTCAGAATCTGGTGGAGACAAAGCATAGCAGTGGCCTTGGCCATGGGCCTAGGATGCTGTCCACCCACATCAGGTCATCCTGGGTAGTTGTATAAATCTAGTATGTGCCCTCCACCCTGCCTGCTGGGTAAGAACCCCTGGGGGAGATGCTGGGAACTTGTATTTTGGACTAACAAGGCCACTTCGCTGTGGTTCACATTGAAGTTTTAGACCCCTGACTAAGTCAAAGTCACTTTAAAAATACTTATACTGCTCTAAAGTAGGTCAAATAGACTCCAATATAAGGCCAAGAGTTCCGGGAGAGGCCTTAAAAAGTTGATAAGCATGTATTTTTGATGACTTAGTCATTGAATGAGTCAGTTTTTAAGTGAAATGGCTGGAGTCAGATTGGGTAGCCTGCTTTTGCCCCCATCCCACTGTCCCCACACCCTTTGTCTCAAGCCAGGAGCCATGTTGACAAAGAGCAAGGGCTAGTCCTGGAGGAGCTTGGGGCCATAGTGAGGACTGGAGCTGGGAACAGAGCCCTCAGCTCAATTTGGGCCTGAGCTAAGGACTCAGCTGGTGCCCAGGCCAGTCTAGGGCCTTCAACCTTAGCTCCTGGGTGTGTGGACATAAGAGCAAGATGCTCTCCCCCAACAATGCATCTGGAAGCTTCCCAGGCGAGGAGGCAGATTCCACGGGCCCCACCCCTCAGGGCCTGGAACACGTATCTGTTTGCCCACACTTGGGGTCAGTAGGCCCAAGTGGCTGTGGTCTGGGATTGATAAGAGGATGCAGTGCATGCAACACACAGGGCTGGGTCCCCTCACCTTGTCCAGCAAAGTCCCCCACAGCAGCCATATCTGGTCCCTTCTGTTCCTTGGGGATCATCCTGTGGAGGAAAGACTCCTGCAGATGAGTCAAGCTGCCCTCATTCTCCACCACATCTCCTCCAAGTTCCTGGTCCACCCAAGCCCAGCCCGGGACAGTCTCGGACTAGCCCAAAATTTGTCCAAGCAGGAAGGGTCTCGACACTCTCTCTGTACAGAGGAGGACATGGTGGCCCAGGGAGGCCGGTCGAGATGCTTGAATTCACACAAATCTGCTCCCATGTTGCTAGAGAGGCGCTGTCTCATTGCAGGTGGACTGAGGAACCTGGGCCCAAATCTTCATGGGAGGGAAAGCAGGGGCCTGGGACTTTGGGGTGGAAGAGGTAGGGAGCTCAGCCTGTTGCCTCCTGCCAACTCAGGAGAGCTCTAACCAGAGGCTGGAAGAGGTTGGAGGTTTAAGTCATGAGGAGGGAGGTGTGGGTGGTTAGGCTGGGGCTGCACTGAGGTCTGCAAGGTTGGGCCTTTCTTTCTGTCCCCAGTACTTGGCCCTGGGGCTCAAGGTCATAGGCTGGTCCAAGGAAACTGAGAGAACCATCCTCCCTCTCCCAGTTCTCCATCCCTCAGGTAATGTACTCCCTTGCCCTCCCTCCCTCCTGTTAGTCCCCTCCCCCCATAGGCATCTCATTGCATTTTCCAGGAATCTTGGCAATTTACAAATAAAATGAGCTCTATAATCCTCAGAGAACACCCACCGTCCCCAAATCCAGATACCCTAACTCTCCCCCAGGAAAGAAGGCTGAGCCCTTGAACCCCGGGCAGGTTACCCATCCCAGTGCCCCTCTCCTTTGTTTTCAGGTTTTCCTCTGCTCTTGCTTTTAGAGAAGTAGCTTGCCTCTATCCATGTTCCCCACAACCACCACAGCAACCGGGAGTCTGATCCTAAGGCCCTGTGTCACTGTGAGCAAGTAGCTCTCCAATTCTATGCCTCAGTGCTCCTCTCCTGGCTTGATCATGGGCATCCATGGGCTCTCTTCAGGGCATCCCTAAACCCTCTAAAACACATGGCAAAGACAAGCACATCTTCATGCATCTGGGGCAGGAGGTATGTGATAACTGTGCACGCTACAGCTCTGACTTCTGTTCCAGAGTCCACAGGTCTGTTTCTTGATAAACACCCCCTTACAGAGATGCACAGACATTGAGGAGGGCCTCACTTAGGAAATTTGCTTCCCTACTGCCTAGAGAGCCCGGAGTCCTGAGAGCCATTGCCTCCCTTGCACTTTGAATTCTAGCCGTCTCCTCCCCCTCCACTAAACTCGGGTCACCCAGAGCTCAGAACCCTCTCTTTCTGCTCAGGAGTCAGGCTTCTGCGAGGTCCCACACCCCCAGACCCTCCACAGGGCCCTGCCTCTGCCTGGTGGGGGTGGGGGCAATGCTCTGGGGATCAGCTCATCTCCTCTGCCCACTCCCCACAGGTCCCCGAGCACCCCTGGGATCCTGGTACCTGAGAGATGGGACCCCAGTGGGGAGAAGAGCGTGCCAGGCCCTCAAGATTTACACCTCTGTTGGGGAGCTGGGAGTTGAGTGGTGCGTCCCTGTTGGTGCTCAGCAGTCAGCACGCCCGCGCCCGGCGTGCCCGAAGCCGGCTGGCCTCAGCTGACGAGAATCCTTCTTGCCTCTCGTGGCTTATTTCGGGCTGCAACAGGATCCAGGGCCAGAGGCTAAAAGCACCAGGCCCCAGGGAGGACAGGTGCCCGGCAGCAGGCTCTTGCAGAGAGAGGGGCTCGCACACATGTGAGCAGCACACACATGCACACCCCAAAGTCACCTGGGAATGCTGAGTCAGTGCCTGTCACTTGAGGTGGGTAGTTGTATTCTTAGTGCGTTATGGGAACTCAGTCGGTATTTGCCGAAAGAACGAATGGATAGATGTGTGTACATGTTGCTCCGCAGTAGCTTTGCTTAGTTTACTCTGACCTTTCCTCCTCCTCTCGCTCCCTCCACTGCCTCACACCCTCTGAGCCTGTCTCTATGAACTGAAAGTAAATAAGGCAGAGCTCTGTTCTGAAGGAACTCAGTCAGGGAGTCAGAACTATCCAGAGCTTTGTGATCCATCATGGGGAAGGCTGGGGTTGGCTTCCCAGAGGAGGCCACCTCTGAGCCTGGCCTGGGTGGTGAGTGGAGTTCATTGGGCAGAGCCATGGGATCATAGGCAGAAGCCGCATGGCATATGAAGATGTTGGGGTGAGTATTTCCAGAACTGAGGGGGACAGGGTGGTGCTGACAGATGAGGCCAGACAGGGAGGGCCAGGCCCCAGAGGCTTTTCAGAGCTAATGTGTTTCAGAACGATGTAAAGAGATGCACAGATTGGTCAGACGGGCATTTTTCAAAGGTGTTCCTGGTGTGGAAAGTGGGTAAGTGGAGTCCAGACTGGAAGCAGAAGGATTTCACTGTAACCAGGTGAGAGGTCCAGGGGATGGCTGAACAGAGCAGTGCCGGGGGTGGGAAGGAGAGGGACTCGAAGGATACTGAGGGACCACCAGATCCTGGTGATCCTGGATGTGGGATGTGAGGAGAGACCACTCCCGATCCTGACTATGATGACGGAGGAAGGTAACAGATTGGGGTAGAGGGCAGAAAACGGCGTTCGGTTTGGAATGAACTCAGCTTGGAGCACCTGGGGTCCCCAGTAGGCAGAGGTACAGTTCTAAGAAGTTCCAGTTGAAAATACATATTAGGTTAGAGAAGCAAGGACCACATCCAGGGAGATATTCGCAGGTGCAGGGTGGGGGCATTTGTACCAGGAAAGACTGCCCAAGGGTGTGTTCTGACAGCAGGGCCTCACCTGGGAATAGGATGCCAACCTCCTGGGCAGTCCTGATGCCTGGACTCAGAACTGACTTCTCTTAGGAGGTCACTTCTTCTTCCAGCCTGGAGCCCTGACCTGCCATGGGGAGCTGCACGGGGTCTGCCCAGATTGGCTTGCCAACCCGGGTGACGATGCCCTGTGAGAGCACCTGGCCCAGCCCACTGGTGACCCTGGTAGGAGAGCTGAGGCCTGGAGGAGTGGCTTTCCCAGGTCACCCAGTCAGGGGATGACAAGACTGGAACTCCAACTCAGGAACTTCTTCAGTCCTGAGTTTTCTGGGGCTCCCCATCTCCCCTCACAGGTTGGTGCTTCCCAGGCCCCTATCTCCCGTATCTCAAAACATGCATATTCACTTCAATTCCACGGACTGTCCCATGATTGGGAAAAGAGGAGGGATTTACATACAGCTGAAAATCACACAGGGAGGCAGAAGGACGCAAGAAGCATTTATTGAGGGCCAGAGCTGAATTCTACAGGAGGCTAGAGACAGGACACAAGCAAGCTTCATGAGCTAGGGAAGGGGCTGGGGCTGTGGGGAGGGAGAAGGCAGTGTGACAGGGAAAGACTAGCCAGCTAGAACTGCAGCTGCCCAAGGCTGCCTCCTGCTAGCTCCAGAGGGGACATGCAGGTAGAAGTGGATTTTCTAAGGCCACAGCATCAGGCAGAGGCCAGACAGCAGGTCTTCTCTGAAAGAAGCCCCTTAGCTCTAGTCTCCTCAGCTAGAAGGGACAGAAGCAGGTGGGACCTTGGGTGAATGCAGTCACTGAGGAGCAGCGCCCTCTTATCTTGCCACTAAAGAGCCTGTGCCCCCAGTCCTTAGTATATTTTGTTCCAAAGCACCCCTTGACTCTCCCCCATCCTGGTCTCAGCTTTCCCCAGCCTCACGTGGTGTTCCAGGTCTAACATCACCCTACGTATGGGGAAATCTATCTCTAACTCCAAATCACACTCTGTCCCTCACCTTTAGCAACATCCTGCTATGCTTTTTCCTACAAATCTTTGATCCTCGGGCAATTTCAGGCCCCTCCAGCCAGTATCCTAAAGCTGATACTCTGAACCTCTAGAAGGTAGCACCAGTCACCTTTGGACACTATAGAACTCAGCTACATTCCTCCCCATGTCTGTCCTAGAGTTGGAATCAGAGTCCCCAAGTTTTAAGGGGCAGGTCAGGGTTGCAGTTAGACTCCCAAGATCACTGGGCACCAGGCACAAGCTAGGCCAGAGTGTGTGGGTAGAGAGATAGGACAGGACACAGTCCTCTCATCTGGGCTGACATGGACGTCGGCTGGGATCTGAAACTAAAGAATGGGGTAGCTCCAAAGGAACCAGAATCAAAGGCAGACCCTTCTGTCACCTGCTCAAGCTCATTTGCCCAGCCAACCCTTCACTGTGACCTCCCTCCTTTCCTAATGCCATGAAATCCATTTCAGGACTGGAAGAGCCCTCAGATGTCATCTAAGCCAATGCCTCCCTACCAGAATCTTCTCTATGCATCCTGGCCACTATCTGCACACTACCCATAACATGGAACACTTTGCCTTCCTCCTTCCAAATGGACGACTTCAAACTCAGGGTCATCGGGTAAAGCCACAGGATAGCTCCACATCAACTCTTTTCTCCTCAGCTCAGCTTTGAAAGGGCCAGAGATGAATTCTACAGGACGCTAGAGGCAGGAAAGGGCCCAGAGGAGCAGATTGGGTTGAACGCACCTAGAGCTTCCCTGGAGGCCCAAGTGCTGGGCCTGGGGGAAGCTCTTGCCTCGCAGCTCTCTTCTCTGGCTGTAGATGAGATGTCTTGGATGGTCTGAGATGGGGTGGACAAAAGCACAAGAGGGCTCTGGAAGGATTCTTCGGCTTCTTCTCTCTGGAGGGGCCAGCGGGGCACCTTGGGCTGGACTGGGAGACCTCTCTAAAGGTCACTGTGGTAAAAATAGATCTTGTTTGGGAAGGGATGGAAAACAACTGCTCCTGCCCAGGACTTAGTGCCAGGGAGGCGGATGGTCAAGCCAGGACCTGGACAGGGGACTTAGGACTGGGATTTCTGAATACACCCCTCCTTTGCCAGACTCCAGAGAGCAGAGCCTGGAGGGAAGGGAGGGTGGAACCCTGGAATGCAGCAAGTCTAGGGGTGCAGATACATAATGCCTGCCTTTTCCAAGGCGCGCGCGCACACACTCATGGTCACGGGAGGAGGAATTTAGATGTTTGGAGATTGTCTTGGCCAAAGTCCCATTAAACAGATGGAAAAGCTGAAGGTCAGACAGAGGAAGGGTTTTTCCCAGAGTCAAACAGCTGGATGACAGAGCGGGGCAAGACCCCAAGCTCGGACCACTGCCCACAGCGCTCTTCCCTGGTGCCTGGGGCTGTCCAAAGAAGCCAGCCCTCTTGGGACCGGATGCTACCATCTCCCAAGCCCAGGGACCCTCCTCCGGCCGGGTCGGCGAGGGTAGGTGGGAGTGGGGCGGCGCCGGATTTAGGAGGTGCAGGAGGCCTCGGCGGGGAGGCTGCCGCGCTTGAGCCTCAGGCTGCCGTTCCAGCCGCGCGGGCAGATGTTGTAGCCGAGGATGCCGGGCGACTTGGCCCCGGAGTCCTCGGAGTCGAGGGACACGTCGGAGTCCGTGGGCGAGCGGCGGCAGGGGAAGGGCCGGGGCGGGATCGGGGCGAACGTGGCGCGCGGGGCGGCGGGCGGGCTGGGCCGGGCGGGCGCGGGCGCGGGCGGGGGCGCGGGCGGGGGCCCCCGCGGCGGGGAGAAGGGCCGCCGGCTCTCGGCGCCCGCCGGCCGCGGGGAGGCGCTCTTGCGCCGGGCCGCGTTGATGATGTTCCGCGCCAGCAGCGCCTGCAGCTGGCGGCTGGTGGGGCGCGCCTCGGGCTCGGGGCGCAGCGGGGAGACCGAGCGCTCGCTCCACGAGGGGGACCGGGGCCGCGGCGGCAGCGGCGGGGGGCTGCTCAGGCTGCTCCCGCGGCCCGTCTCCCAGGGCCCCGGGCTCACCCAGCCGTCTAGGCTGCTGGGGGGCCGCGAGGCGCCCGGCGTCCAGGGCGGGGAGGTGGGGAGGCTCTCCCGGCGGTCCTGGGGAGAAAGCAGAGAGGGTGGGGCAGGCGTTAGTGCTGGGGTCCTCCACACCGGGGCTCGGGAGGGGCCGAGTCGGTCGGACCTTCGGACAGAGGCGGGAAGCGGGTGGCCGAGGGCAGGGAACCGTGCAGGCCCTGCTCTCTGCCCAGAGGCTCTCAGAAGCCCAGACCCCTGCGCAGTAACAGGGAGCAGATGACTAGGGGGTGGAAGGCCGGTCACTCTGGGGACAGACCCCTGTGCTTACTGACTGGACCTGAGCAAGTTGCTCCAGCAACGGAAGCAACTTGGAGCCTTTGGGCTTCAGGTTCCTCCTAGGTAAAGTGGGGTGTGATAGTGTTAGGGGGAAAGGATGTCCTTCCTGTCGGCGATGCTCTGTAACAACATCAGCACAGGCCCTATTGGGTGGTTGTGAGGGTTAAGGGAGACAACTCGTGTAAAAGGACATTACATGTAGTAGGAGATTTCTTGGAAGCGAGTAAGTGCTCAGTTACTTACTTACCTTTAAAAATGTTGAATTAAACTAACCAAAGTGGTTACCTGTTAAGAATTGGGGCGAACCTAGGCCGGATCTACAGCCACTGGGGGTGAGAATCAGGCTTTGTACTACTTGTTACATGTTCTTTGAACCATTTGAATGTACTCTCTATTCAAAAATTTAAAGCTTAAAAATATCAACCATTATTGTTAAGGTTAGATTGAGGATAAGACCTGTCATCCCTGGCCCTCTTGATATGTTACCATGATCATCCTAATTTTCCCTTGGATCATTGGCAGATGGAAACATAAGGGGAAGCTGTGTTCTTTCTCCCTAGGCAGCACATTCCCCTCACGGACTTCTTGCCAGTGTGGGGTGGGGAATGTGGTCAGGTTAGTGAGCATTTTTGAGATTATAAAGCATACCTCTGTTATACACCGCCATACCTGCTTCCTACCTTTTTAGGGACTCACCAGTCTCACCTTTTATCTCTCAATAGAGCCTCACAATCAACTAATGAGGTAGCTGACATTATCACCCCATTTTACTAGATGATGAAAACGCCATTCATAGGTATAAATAACTGTTCTGTGTTCTACCTGATTAGGAATTGTGTGTGTGTGTGTGTGTGAGAGAGAGAGAGAGAGAGAGAGAGAGAGAGAGAGAGAGAGAGAGAGAGAGACCGAGACAGAGATAGAGACAGAGACAGAGACAGAGACAGAGAGGAGAGAGAGAGACTATTTGCTGCTTAAAGGCCACACCACACCTAACTGGATTGGCTGGGAAGTGCAGGGCTTAGGAATCCATATCCAGTATGTATATGCTAAATCATCCAAGTGTTCATCCAGTCAGATTCCAGCAACCACCAGTCCAGTCAGCCTGCAATTCCATCCAGATTCACAGTAGCCAGAGCTAGCCAGCCCATTCAGTGTCTCCTACCCAAGTAAAATGTAGAACCATCCACAAGATCCATTCTCTCATCCAATCAGAATGCCATAGCAAAGCCAGCTGGTCTCTAATCAGAATCTAAATATCCTAATCAAAAGGAAGCAAGAGACATAAAGTATATGTCTACTAGGTGAATCCGTTACTGATTCTGAAGTGGAGTCCTTTGACCTAAAGAGGAATGCTGTATAGCAGTGTGAACAGGAGCTTCTCGATGGGATGGTAATACTGGCCTGAGCCCTATAGACATCCCGGGACACCCAAGACCCCAGTTGTCAAGTAGGAGAGTTAAAGCTCAGTGTGGAATCCACTGCTTTACTCCCAGGATTAACTTGTGTACACGTGAGCCCCAGACCTTGGATCTGCTGACATCTCTGGAAGCTTTGGATGCAGGGGTGCAGCCAAGAGGCTATGACCCAATCCTGTACAAGCATAGAGGCCAAGGAACCAGGGCTCCTCAGCCTGAAGAGTAGGCTGAGTGGAGAGACTAGCAGAGCTATATGAAAAATTTCTAAAGGGTGGTCTCCACCTTTGATGGCCACAAGGAAAGACTAGAGTGAGCAAGTGGAAGGGGTGTGATTTCCTCCTCAAGCCAAGGTTGGAAGTTGAGGACAGTGGTGAGCAGCTCCTTACTGCTTGGAAGTGGGCCAGGGCCTGACCTTATCAGAGCTGCCAGGTCTGGATCCCAACTCTGTGTGCAGGGAAGAGGTGGACTACACAATATAGAAAGCCTGTGGGAATCAGAGCTGTTCACTTTCTGACAAAGTTCTTGGTGACCAGAAAGAACCCCTTGGGACTGCACATGGGTGAGAATTCAGAAAGCAGCCCCCACTTCACCCAGTACCATCACCAGTGCCAGGCCTTGTGCAGGGTAAAGGTGAGAGTAGGACAGGGTCAGACAGGAACTAGTAGTTAGGGAGCTCAGTTTCCTCAGAAGGGGAAACTGAGGCCTAGTGATGGGGAGGGGAGGCTGTCTAGCTCCACAGGAGTTGGGTGCAGATCTGGGAGTAGAACGCAGCTTTTTTGATGACTAGTGGCAGTTCTGTTCCTTCCCTGGGGCAGAAACCCAGTGCTTTTGGGAGCCAGACGGCGACATGACGAATGTGTGATATAGCCAGATTTAGATAACACGGAGAGGGGGAGGGGACCAGACGGTATGCGCTCTGGCTCAAGGCATTTAAAATCCATTAAAAACAAAACAAAACACTTAAACCTGGGCCATAAAGGGCGGTGGGTTTTCCCTGTGTTCTGCAGCCTTTTGGGCCAAACTCCAAAGAAGGAGCCATGATTTCCAAGGACTCTGGTTCCCTAAGTGCTCACCTGGGGCAGAGGTGCAGCCTCCACCTCCCAGGCAGCAGTCCCCCCGCGCCATAGCAGCACCAGACACGCAGCAGGTGCAGCAGAGGGAGACACAGCACACCTCCACACAGCCACCCCACGCCCCAGGCCAGAACCCAAGGAAAGGGCCCATTCAGTATCCAGACCACCAGCCAGCGAGCGCGGAAGAAAGAAGCAAGACAGATTTGAGGCAGAGTGTATTGAGGACAGGAGAGAAAACAAAGTCGGAGAAGCTTTCTGCCGGCTTGGCCAGGAACTGCAGGACGGAGGTGGGCTCTTCCAGGGCTGGCCCTCGGGGACCCCGGCAATCCAGGGTTCAGGACAGGGGCCTCACTCACACTGGGAGGGGCTGGCATGGAGGAACTGAGCTCACTCAAAGCTCAGTCCCAGCTCCCCCACGCACGCCCCCGAGTTCTGGGCAGAATGAGCTCACTGGGAAGGCACCCCTGTTCCCATGGAGACGCGCCCAGAGCTCACGAAAACTGCAGGCTCAGCCCAGCATGAGGACCGCCTCCACCACCCCTTGCCCCACTAGGGAGCCCAGAAATAGGCCTGGGAAAGAGGAAGTGGGTGGCGCTCAGCCCCCCCACTTTGGGAAGCTTCCATCTGAATCCTGCCTCAAGAGTCTGTAATTCTCTCACCCCCAGCCCCCACAAAGCCTGGTTTGGGGGGCTGTATCACTTCAAAATTGTCAGAGGTGGGGAGGATCTCAGACAACCTAACTCAATACCCTCACTGTAGAAATGGAGCAACTGAGTCCCAAAGATACACATCGGGTCTGTTAGAATCCAGATTTCTTAAGTCTCAGTCTTTTCCTCAACATCCGAAGATCTCCTCATCCCTTCCCACAGAGCTGCTGAGCTCCTGCCCTGGACCTCACCTGTTCCCACTCTCTGCAGACAACCCCAAGCCGGAGCCATCCGAGCCTAGGCTTCTTGTTCCTTGGCCTCCTGCCACAGCTCATCCCAGCCACACCCTCCCCAGGAATAAACATGCCCTCAGACATCTAATCTCCATCTCTCCTAGGGCAACAGCCCATTTCCTTCCCTGTCTTACCCAGGGACTGGCTTATCACTTACAAGGCCTTTCTCCCAAAGCCCCAGCCTGTCTTCTCAATCCTCACACATTGTCCCAGCCTGGAAGGGCCCTCATTGTATAAATGAGAAAACTGAGGTCCAAGAAGGGAAGGGGATTTGGCCAAGGTCACCCAGCAAATGGAAGGTCAAGATAGGACCAGAATCCCCTCACCCTCTCCGTGCGGCCCTTTCACTGTACAGAGAGGCTGCCAAGAGGCAACAGGTACACTGCCGGGAAGCCCTCGCTAGCCGCACCCTCACACCTGCACATCCTTCTATAGTGATGGCCTCTCGGCGATCCCCCGGGACCTCCCACACACTCTGGAACCGGGACGGCCAGCCAGGTGGAGTCAGGTGGACTGGAGCCAGGTGTTTGGAGAGGGCACAGAGGCAGCTGAGCAGAAGGGGCAGGAGGAGAAGCGTCAGACAGCAATGATGGGCTGAGTCCTCATCCGGCGGAAGAAAACAGGGAAGGAGAAAACATGGAGGCTGAGGCAAAGTTCTCTGAAGCAGCTGAGAGGAACATCCACAGGCAGAGGCGAAAGAGACAGACCCGTAGTGGTGAGAATCCAACGACAGGCAGAAAAATGCCAGGAGCTGGGGCCACGATGTGGAGGCTGCCCTGGGGCAGCTGAGGGGCAGACCCCTTCCTTGGCTGACTGGGTCACAGGCAGGCTCTGTGGGCTCCAGAAACCGGTTAGGGTCCCCTTCTAGGCCATTCCCCAGCAAAATGCTGGCATCCTCGCAGCTCACAAAGGCCAGAGGAAGCCTCTCAGCCCCATTCAGGCCTGCCAAGGATGTTCTCTCCCATGACCTCCCTCCCCACCTGGTATAAGACTTCAGATCCCAAATATGGAGTCCAACCACCCTCACAGTAGGGAAGGGGCAGCTGCAGCTCAGAGAGGGAGGTAACTCGCCCAACATCACAAAGCTAGCTGGTGTCCCATTAGATTTGATGTCCCCGAGTCCCCATTCTCCTGCCTCTCAGCCCTGTGCCACTTCCTGCCACATCTGCTCTACATCGGCCCTTGGAGGGGGGCACTGATGGGCAGTAGGACCCCTATGGGGTTCGTTACTTGAAGCAGAAGGAAGGCTTCCACACCTGAGCCTCGATCCCCGCATTCCGGGTGGAGAAGGAAGGCCTGGGGGCCTGCTTGGCTCGGGGAGACCACGCCCTGGAGGGAGACACTGGGGAGATATCGCTGCTATAGGTGGGGCTCACGGTGGTTGGCTGCAGGCTGTCCTGGCTGGGCAGGGTGTAGAGACTGGGCGAGGAGCGGGAAGGCCGAGGCAGGGCTGGAGACGGAGGGAGGGCTGACTTGGGCAGGCTGGGCGCCAGGTCCAGGGAGCTCGGCTTGGCTGGGGAGGTGGCTCTGGACGAGGTCATTCTTGGTGAGGCCTTGGCAGGCTCCTTGAGTGGGGACAGGACAAAGAGCGAGGACCGCAGCTGGTAGGGTGGCTGCTTGGTGGGCTCTGGGCGCAAGACCCCATTCTCAGGCAGGTAGCCATGGTAGAGGGAAGCAGGCGGGGTCCGAGCTGGACTTAGGGATGCCACTCGGAAGCCCCCTTGGGCACTGGTAGAGTATTTCCAGGATGAAGGCAAGGACATAGTGGGTGAAGGGCAGCGGGCCAGTTCAGCGTGGCCAGAAGACTCAATGACATACTTCTCCATCCGGGACTGGCGGCGGGCATAGAGCTCAGCCCCCTTCCCGGAGGCCTCAGAGAGGTTCTGGTTGGGTTTGGGTTTTGGCTTGGCCTGGATGCGTGGTGACTTGAGGCATGAGGCCCACTCCGGGACAACTTCCTCGGCCGCTGCGGGGCTGGCCCTGTCCCTCGGCGCAGGCTCCTGCTGGAAGTTAGAGGCCTCAGCCCCCAGCGCGAAGGGCTCCTCCTCCCCAGCTGCCTCCCCCTGGTCCCTCTGCCTCCGCTTCTCATCAGCTGTCTGCACCAGATCCAGCAGGTCTGGATTTGGGGTCACCTTGGGTTTCTCCACAAAGGTGAACATTGACTTCCGGCTGCCCCTGCGGGCCATCGACTCCTCCAAGATGCCAGTCTTGCTGGGAACTGCCTGGCCTTTTGGATGAGAAAGCTTGGGGTCGGAGCTGGGGTACAGGGCAGAATAAGAGGGGGGAGACCTAACTCGGGAAGCTGGGGGTGCTGTGGACAAGGTCTCAGCATAGGTCGGGGGTGGGGTGAAGTTCCCCAAGGGGCGTCTCTCCAAGGCAGGGCTTCGCTGAGCCACCGACCTCCTTTCCACCATGGGGCTGTGGGATGACATCACGTGTCTCTGTGGCCGAGGGCTCTGATCTGCCACAGTGGAGGGTTGGGGAACTGGGGTCCCCACATGTCGTCTCTCTACCATGGGGCTTCGCTCCATCTGGCTGGGGCCCCCTGGTGCCTGGATCCCAAAAGGGCGGGCTGTCCTGTTGACCACTGACTGGGGCTTGGCCAGAGTGAGGTGGACCTCACTGTACAGCTTGCTGGGTGTGGTGGCAGCTGTCCGCCCGGATATCTCTTGTTCTGCAGACACCACTGGGGCACTGGGCTGCACATCAATGAGCAGAGAACTGGACATGAAATCTGGAGCTGGGGACCGGAAGCTGGAGATGGGTGTGACTTCTTTGGAGAAGGTGCTGGTGGCATTAGATGGAGCAGAGACCTTATCCACAAGGTGTGTGCTCGATCTCACCTCTGCAGCCAGCTCCTGGGGCTGCCCGCTAGCACACAGGGTGCTGGACTTGGAGTCTGGAATCATGCCATTTGGAGGGAGTTGTGCCCCTGAAGAATTCTGTGGGGTGCTGGAAAGTGGGGTGACAGCCGCTGGTGGGTTCTGGTTGACATCTGTGGCTGGCAGCCCATGGCTGCTGTTAGAAGCTAGTGTGATGATCGTGTCATGGTGTGAGGAAAGGTTCTGGTTGACATCTGCAACTGGGCTGGGGACCTCGGCCGGAGGTGGGGTTGCTGGGGCCTGTTGGGCCTCCCGGTTCTGGGACAGGTGGAGCCCGTTGGCTGTCAGCAGGGCTGCATTTTCCTTTAAGTAAACCACCAGGGGCACCTCTTCTTCCTCGCTGGCTACCTTCTCCAGGTGCCGCAGCAAGCCGGCCTCCTCTGAACACCCCTCCATGCTGGAGCCAAGGACCCCTACGTCAGGGCTCTGGCAGTCGGGGCTCTGTGGACGGCCTGGCTCAGGGAGTGAGGTGGGATTCAGGCTGAGCCCTGGGGCATGGCTGGCCGGGTGAGCAGCGGGCACTCTGAAGGACTCCTGGCCGAGCTTCTGTCCCCTGCGGCCGTGGCTCTCCAAGGTGAACTCGTTTACCCTCTGCCGGCGCCTGTTGAAGAGCTGGACACCACGGGAGTTGGAGCTGGGAGGGGTGGTGAGCTGCGCGGCTATCTGCTGACTCCGGGCTTTGGCCTCCTTCAGATCCTTCTCAGTGAAGCTGGTGCTCCGGCCCAGGGCTACAGGGAAGGACAGAGGCCTGGTTAGCACAGCCACTGTGATATACAGACAGACAGACAGATGGCCACCCCGGCCAGCCTAAGGATCATCCTACAGATGATCCTACAGATGATCTTTCCTTCTGGAATATGATTTTTACACATTGTTTCCTAGACCCCTCTTCTTATGAAGATCTCTGACCCAACTATCATGGCCCAACTATCCTTTCAGGTCTCACCAGCCCTTCTTCTGGCCTCCCCCTGAGGGTTGCTGATTCTTCACTAGAGCAAATTCGCTCTAGCAGGTAAGGTTTCACTATACCCCCAACTCATCTCCTACCCTTCTTCTCTCTCACTGGGCTCTGTTTTGCTGACTTACTGTCTGTTCCATGAAAATTCCAAGTTTGTTCCTTCCCCAGGGCCTTTGCATTTGCTATTCCTTCTGAATGATCTTTCCCAGGTGGCATTTCCTGTTGGCTCCTTCTTGTCATTCAGGGCTTCTTTGAATGTCACTTCTGAATTGGCCTCCCTTTACAATGATCCCTCTCCTCTCCTACCCCCTTTCTTTGTTTTATTTTCTTCATGACATTCGCCACAATTCAGAATTAGCTTCTTCACATATTTCCCTATTTATTTTCTATTTGCCCACCTAGGCCATCAGCTCCAAGGGAACAACAGCCTTGTTCAATTTTTTTTATCACTCTAACTCTGGCTCTAGAATCATGCCTGGCATCAAGTGGGCTCTCAGTAAATATTACTGAATGTGTGAGTGAACCAGCAGGGCATTTTTTACATTACTTTCCTTGGGAACCCTTTGGATTTTCAAACTCATAGTGTAGTCATTTATTTGGACACTAACATTTCCCCTTTGGAGAATAAGTAATACCTTCACATGGTCTAAACAAAAATCAAAAAAGGTATACAGTGAAAGTGTGCCTCCAGGCCTGAGTGCCCACACCACGGACAGGTAAGAGCTGTATTAGTTTTTCTACGTCCTTACAGAGTGTCTTCCCATCTATATTTTAAACAGTCATTTAAAAATTCTCATATTTTAACACTAGAAAGGTCATAAATCAGGGTAGTTTCAACAGCAACTGTACTAGAACATTGTATTACTTCACTTTATCCTCCAGGAACAGCAGAAGACAAGCATTACTTGCCTGTTTTACAGAAGTGGAAGAAGAGGCCCAGAGACTTACAAAACCCAAGTCATACAGCAAAGGGGCAGGGGTGGGGGGAATGACAAACCTGGAGTCAGAACAAGCCCAAGCTCATGATGTCAGCTTGTCTCAAAAGATCTCTTTGAGATATACAAGGGACAGTCAAAGGGAGATTGGGGTTCAATCTGGGCCTGGAATCTGGGGTCTGAGGTCAGGGATCAGGCTAGCGTCAGGCCCCTATTAATCTGTGAGTTCACTGTGGGCAACCATTTCTCTTTATTGCCACAGTCCCTAACTGGCACATATCTGGCGCTTAATTTATGCTTATTGAGCAATGAATGAACAAATGGACATATGAATGGGACAGCCTGTGCCCGGGATTAGCAGCTCTGTCAGTGGCTGGGAAAATTCCTCTTCCCATCTCCCCCTCATGTGGGAAGCTAATTAGTTCTTGAGGAACCTGACCCTGCCCTCCTTTCACCTTGCCCTCATTAGCACTGGCCATGCATGGCATGCCGAATGGGTCTCCAGGGACCGTTTTTCTAGGCATCCTGCCAGTGAGGCTCAGAATTCATGGACTGTCAGAGGTGAAAGGGCCTTGACAGAGAAGCTAAGTCAGCACCACACCCATTGAACAGATGGGGAAACTGAGGTCTACAGAGTGGTGCCAGGTCGGACCTACAATGGGCTGGGATCAGGCCCAGCAACCATGGACGCTCTGGCCCCAAGCTCCTTGCATTTGGACAGGGCTCGTCATGCGCACACACACAGCTCTGCCCACCTGTCTGAAATAGTAAGAGCACAGGCCTGTCCACGAACCAGGATATCTCCTTCCTCTTTCTGGGGCTCCTTTCTTGCCTGGATCACCTCAGATAAAGGATCTGAGGGGCTGGCCAGCCTCTTTCCCTGGGGCCAGCTGAAGTAGGCGAGAGCTAGCGCCTCAGCTCATGCACTGTCACTCCCTCTGCTCTGCTTAGAACCAGACCTCTTGGCCCCCTCTGGGCTTGGCATTTGCTAGCTGTATGACCTTGGCAAGTCACAGCCCCTCTCAGAGCCAGTTTCCTTGACTGAGAAGGGTGACAGTGGGTTTGGGAGGCTACAGTGAAGTCATGAATGTTGGGGCCAGGGTGCTCCCCTAGAATAGGCGGACACTTCACCTCATTACTCCCTGGAAGAGGTCAGAGCTGCTTCTAGCAAAGGACATTCACCCACAGATCTGGGCCCAGAGAGAGGATCTGACTCTTAAGTCCACACAGCAGGGGATTCCAGAGATGGGGGGAGACAGTGATTACTGCCCCAAATCACAACCTCAGATTTTCAGAGATGCCTGTCACAGGATCCGGTTCCCCACATAGTTCCTGTATCCCTAAAACCACACCCCCTGAGTGTACCAGCCTGCTGACACACTCAGCTAACAGGGAGCCACTGTTAACTGCCATTCAGCAGCTGTGAAGATGCCCCTCACACAACTATCTGCCTTCTGACATGGTTCTGCCCCCTCCTGCCACCCAGATAAAAAGCTTTCTTTGCCAACCTGACAGCCCTGCAGAGATTCAGACAGAAATCGCGTCCCCCTGGGGCGCAGCCAGATAAACAGCAGGATCACTGTGTTTCTGACACCACAGTGGCGGCAACCACATGCTCAGCAGCGACCATGTGCCCAGAACGGGCTTGCCACAGTCTCTTCTTTAATCCTCACAACAGCAGTATGAAGCACAAACTCTATGATCCACTTTCACCAATGGGCCTCTGAGGGATCCAGAGAGCTGCCCCAGGCACAGAAGCAGAAGGCTCCTGCCTGGCTGGGCTGTGGGACCCTAGGGAGCACCAAGCCGCTGATGGGGTCCCAAGGCCAGGCGCAAGCAGAGTGCTTTGGTGTCTGAGTAATCCAGACCTCCCAACATCCCCGCCTTTTCCTGCTTTTCTCCTTACTATTCTCCTTACTATTCTCCGAGACCCTGCCTCGGGCTGGGTCTAAAGCCATGGATTAAAAAAATCCTCAAATGTGGGAGCATGAAGGGCCTTCAGAGATAAACTGACCTAAGAGAGAGAGAAGGGGCACAGAGAAGCCCTGGGGCCCAGCCCCAGCCAGACACTCAACTTCCCCCAAGGGTACTCTGTTCTGGGACAAGAGGAGGAGGCAGAAAAGGGGCCATGAGCCCTGCCTCCGAGGAGAGCTCCCGTGCCCCCAGCCCAGCCCGCAATGACTCCATGGAAAAGGAATTCGGCAGGAGGCTTGGACCAGACCCAGTCAGCGATCCAGACAGCTTTTGCCAACCTGCACAAACAAAGATGAAAGAAGGGGGCTGGGCCAACGCTGGGCACCCCAGAGCCCCCCATTACAAGCATCAGGAGAAGCAATGTCATCTGCAAACTAGGAAACTGCCATCCAGAGATGTCTGAGCCAGTCAGCTCCCACAGCAGTGCTCACTGGTATTAGGGAGGAAGGTGGTGGCCAAAGGCCCTGCGGATAACCACCTCACTGGGCCCCCAAACTTCTTGGTCACAGCCTGTACCTATGCAAGTCAGAACACCCCTCTTCTCCTTGCCTCCGTAGGGTCAGGAGTGGGCTAGCCCTTTAAAAACCCACCCTGGACAATGGAACAGGAGCCCTGAAGACAGACCTTCCAGAGAGGAAGACGAGAGAGAGCAGACACACAGAAGAGCTGCCTGAGGTCAGGGGACCTAGGTCCCTAATTGGGGGAGGGGACAAGGTCCTGAATATGGCCGAGGATGGGGGTTGTGGGGGTTGCTGTAATTATTGAAACTTCACTGCTCTGCGTCAAACACAACATCTCCTTCAATTGCCCCAACAACCCTGAGACAGAAGTTCTGGGAGTAGCCTAGTTTGCAGATAAAACTGGAACTCAGAGACACCTGTCTAGGCTCATACAATTTGTAGCTGGGATTCAAGACTCAAAGTCTGATTGCTTAGTTTCATCTCTTCACCACCCTGCCTTTCTGATACTGACTCTGGATGGGGGGATGTGCCAACAGCGTCTCCAGGGTGCCTGGACAATGGTCTGCAGAGCCCTCTGTTTCTTCATCTCATGAACAAGGCCCCCCAAATTGTCCTCTCCCCTAAATATTGAGCTGCCTAGAACAATTCATGCTTTCTCTTCTCAGAAGAACAGATTCACTCATGCTTACTAAGATAGAAATGACAGACAGGACAGGAAAGACTAGTGGAGTGGGAGTCAGGAGACCCAAGTTTCAGGTCAGGCAGGGCTAAGCCCTTTCTCCTCCCCCCATCACCTCTGCAGGCAGTTGCCTATTCTGCAGACCACCAGGCCTGCCAGAGGGGACAGAGGATCCGAAGAAGGGAGGTGGGCCAGGGAAGGGAGGCCAAAGCAGGTCAGGGCAGGGAAAGAATGCAAGGAAATACTTCTTCACAAGACTGCCATCCATGGGAGTCCAGGTCCAGGGAGGGTGGAGTAGGTCAGGGAGCCAGAAGAAGGAATAGGGAATGGCTGAGGGCAGCCTGATTGTAGCCTCTGGGGGTCTTGGCAAAGATACAGGTAAACAGGCAGGGTAATCGGCTCCCCTGGTGGGGTCAGGAAGGAACCAACGGCTGGCCTCTGCACAACCTCTGACTACACTGGGAGCAGGAAGATGAATCGGGCCTGAGTAATGACCTGGCTACCTTGCCTGCCCCTGCTCTGCATCCTCCCCACCCGAAAGGAGGAAATGACACAGCCTCCATTCCCTGGGGTGTTCTCCATCCACACCAGAGTCCTGGTGAGTGCAACCTGACTGAGCCCCAGCAGACTGAGCTCCTCTCAGGAGGAGAATAATTCAGACTATGGTGGAAAGGACTGCCAGGACAGGGAGATGCATAGCAATGGGAGTGGGGAGCCCAAC